ATACATACATACATACATACATACATACATACATACATACATACATACATACATACATACATACATACATACATACATACATACATACATACATACATACATACATACATACATACATACATACATACATACATACATACATACATACATACATACATACATACATACATACATACATACATACATACATACATACATACATACACACATACATACATACACACACGCACACACACACACATATACATACATACATACATACATACATACAAACATAAATACAAACATATACACACAATCATACAAGCTTCATAGAGCAAAAAATAATTACAGATGCAATAAAATGATTAGAAGCGATAAACGACGACGATGAAATATTCAACGTGCTGTCACATCCAGTGCATCGGAATATATATCTCTTTATTCTTTATCTGTGCTTCCAGGCATGTGTGTGTTATATTGAATCGAGATGTCTCAATATTGAATCGAAATGTCTCGATATTGGATCGAGATGTCTCGATACAAAAACGAGTTTTTCGATATTGGATCGAGATGTCTCGATATAAAAACGAGTTTTTCGATATTGGATCGAGATGTCTCGATATAAAAACGAATTTTTCGATATTGGATCGAGATGTCTCGGTATTGAAGCGAAACGTCCATGCTTGATCATTTCAACTTTATTTCTTTAAATGTTGGTTCAACGTAGCAGTGTGGATGATTGCCGTTGTTCTTATGTGACAAATCTAATTGTTTGCCTTTTTTAATTTTTAATTTTTCGGATTCGCAAGACCGCGTATTGTTGATTGGATTTGTGGATCTTAAAATGAAAGCAGCCTAATAATTTTGTTATATTTGAATATTCTGATGGTTGCTCCCCACCCGTGAAACCTTCATTCAGACCCCTTAAAGTTCGTGCTGGAGAGGGAGGGTCTGAGAATTCACAGGCTGGACCTGAGAGACAAGGGCCTTTACAGATGCTTCCATCTCTCCAAGGATCACGTGGTCACTGATGTCAGACAAATCAATGTTGATATTCTATGTAAGGAATTTGGTTATGTGATTTTTATTTCATTCTAATTTATTAAATAGAAATTTTAAAATGTTGGAATTTTCAAATTTGATGTTTCCTTGAACCAAAAAGTTCAAAACAATTAATTATTCGTGGTTCGATTTGTTAAATTCTATTACTTGCGATCAACATACAGCCAACAACAGCAGCAACAACACAACAACCACCGCAGCAAAATCCATGCATTGACATCCCACAAAACCACAGATCCTCCAGTCGTCTTAAGACACCCATCATCAGAGCCTGCCATCAAAGGGAAGAACTTGACCTTGACTTGTCAGGCAGATGGCAACCCCCCAGTTCATTACGAATGGCTCAAGGTAATTCATAATTACATTCATCTCTTCATTCATATTAACTTTCATAATTTTATAAATAACTGTAATTCATCTCTTTTAAATCTCATAAATTCATTAAAATTTTATTTTGAGCCATCTTGTTACTTTCCAACAAAAAACTTTGTACGTAGGAGAAGATGATCACTGAAATAATCCGAGCGAAGGTTCGTGTGGCAGAAAGCACAGAAACATTAGTTATTCCGAACTTCGATCAGTCAGACGAAGGCAGATACTTCTGCAAAATCTCCAACCCTCTTGGTTTCAAAGAAAATTACGTCGATATTCAAATGCTAGGTATTCGATGCCTTGTCATTGCAACATTTTAATTGCCATAATTTTTTGAAAGGACAATCATTTTAAATAACTTAAAGTTTGAAGTTTCGCCTGCAAGTAAACCTTTAATTCTGCAGTGCCACCAAAGATATCACTCTCAATAACAAACACCTCTCTTTTGGAGAACTCCACTCTGAACATCATCTGCGGCACCACAGGCGTGCCAGTGCCCAAGATATCCTGGACCATGCTGCCCATCAACAACAACCAAACTAACGACGTTGTTAGCAAAACATGTTACAGTAATTTGGAATCTATCTAAATCGTTCTGCTGTTAATATTTGCATCTGTGATCATTTTAGACATCGTTGCATTGCATACGATGGTCAACTGATTAATGGAAAGCTGTGAGACAATGTTAAATTAATAAATTTGGTTCCAAACGAAACAAACCTTCTAGAAAATGGATTCTTTGCACGAACGCAACCAGCCAGGTGTGAGCACTATCGTCATCCAGAGATTGAAGAGGAAGCATGCTGGCAAGTTGACGTGCAAAGCTTCAAATGTAGCGGGAACAGCTTCGTCATCGGCCACCATTCTGGTCGAATGTTAGTTGATCCAGTGTTTTTGCATGTGAATGTGCTGGTTTTGTTGATAAGTATTGTCTTGTCTTCATGATACTTTGGACAGTTTTATTTCATTTTATTAAACTTTCTTTTAATTATTAATCAATCTGTTTGAAAACATTGCTTAGCCAATTTTGACATTTATTTAACGACAGCATGACATGGCCATGACAACATACATGATATAACAAATGTTATAAGAAAAAGTATGTTTTCGTATGTGTTATGCTTGTGGTATGCAATACAATTTTTAGTTGTTATGGTGTAACCGACTATCGTCAAATTTAATATCAAATTTTGCAAATAGTGGTGTTCATTTCAGTCAAACCAGAAGTAAAGATGGAGCTAATTGAAAATTTGGACTCAGATGATGAGGAGGAAACGGAGAAAAAGTTCATTTCTGTTTTGTGCTTGGGGACTGGTTTTCCACTTCCCGACCTGTTCTGGCTGCAAAACAACAACAAATTATTCTCCGATCAAAATGACAAGTTCAGCATCACCCATCGAGTTGAATCGCCAACGAAAATTCTTTCATATTTGAATGTGAGATTATAACTTTTAGCTGTTTGTATTAAAACATAAGATGGCTAGAACTGAACGATTTTATTAAATTAAAACGATAGATTTCTGAGGTGAAAAGTAGAAGAGAAACATTAACCAACCTGTCCTGCCTGGCCAGGAACATGCATGGCAATGTTTCGACGTACCTGGAAGATGATGACGCCATTGAAGAGGGTATAAACAATTTTTTCTTAATTTTTTAATGAATTGTCAACATTTTAGCAATTAAATGTATGTGTATTCTCAATTTCGCAAGAATTTGTATTTAGCCGTTAATATAGTCATAAAATGTTCATTTTTAATTTCAGAAGAAATAGATTACACGATGAAGTATTATGATGAGACTACTGAGCAGATTACATTCAAATCAGAACAATCAACGAAACATTTGAAATCGATGGAGAAGCAGACGGACGTGGAGCCGAGCAGTGGTGTGAAGTTTGTCGTCATCGTCTCAATTGGGTGTGCGTTCGTCATAGGCCTTATCGTAACCGCCGTTTTAGCCAATTGCTTCATTCAAAGGGAAAAACTAAAAAAATCCGTTCCAATTGATTCCGTATTTTTAAAACTGCAAAAACCCGTCATCGTTTCAAAAAACTCGCCTGCAGTTTCATCACAATCTCCGAAGGTGTTGGCTGCCATGAGGAGTAGTGATCCGAACGATTCCTTGACGAAGAAGAACATGGCTGTCAAGTTGGTGAAGAAGTCTCCAGTGTCCATCAGCACACGCGAAAGCATGGGAACCAATTTGAACGGCTACTACAAGGGCGACTCCGTTGATGACGTCATCGATCAGTTCGCTAGCGTTTCATCAGATAAACTTCTCGATTTATGATAACTATTTTTTTTGCCTTGTTTTGTCAGATCAGGAGAACTATTTATCGATAATCAAATTTTTGTCATTGTAAATGATTCGTGCTCATCAGATTTGTGTTTACAGTTTTGATTCTAATTGTCAATGTTGTTCTTGATAAAAATTGCTCTTTCTTGCTTATTGTCTATTATGGTTAGTAGTATTATTTGTGTTGAATTATTATCCTACAATCACAAAAACCTAATTTTTTTGTTTTCACATGTTTTATACTCCAATTTATTTTATTGAAATGACTGGTTATAATATATGAATTTGTATATTTAAAAAGTTTATAACAGTGAAATATTAATAAGTCAACGCTTTCGAAATATTTGTTGAATAACGAAAATGGGATCTGGCAGCAGCAACAGTAGGAGGCACAGTGAATTTTAAACAAAACTTCTTGACAAAATTATAAAACCTTCTTTCGATTTAAAAGCACCTAAAAGAAGATAATAATTTGTTGGGTCACTCATCAAAGTCCTCAAAGTTTGACCAATCATTTTATATTTCATTTTATTATTAATAAATTTCCACGAGAAAAAAATTTCAAACTTATAACTTTACACTACTTACAAGAAGATAAAAGAAGGGAAAGCCAATTGAAATTTCAGCTTACTCCCAAAGTTATACTTATGCAAATCTAACACTAAACTAACTTCAGGAAACTTCCATCTTTTTGTAAGGGGCGCAAAATTACAAATTTAAAATGTTTTTGAATGAAGACGTAAATGAAAAGAGGGGGAAATAGTTATCAAGCGCGTCCACCAAAATGGTAATGAAGTATTCGTTTCAAAATTATTTCATCATTTTGCATATATGAAAACATTCGATTTTAACCATTTTAAAATTAAATGAAAAAGGAAACCCTGCAGATGATTTAACGAAAACTTTTCTTGCACTGAACCGCTCCAATCCAATATTTATTTAGCTGGGATTTTAAAATGTAATAAAATGTTTACTAAAAAATTAAATGAGGCAGGCACTTGAAGTTTAAAAAAGACCGTTGAAGCCACTTGAACCTGTGTACGTACGTGCGTGCCAGGTTGAGGGCAGTGATTGATTCTCATGACAATTGGACAAAATGGAGATAAAACAATGTTTTTATTTATTTTTATCAAAATATAAGAAAAAAACATGAATTTATTAATTATAAACTAGAAAATAATAATGAAATTTGTGAGTTGATGATTGAAAAAAACTATTAGAGCATCGATATAAACCCCAGACAATTTAACAACCTCGCATTATTTTTATTTATAAACAGTGTTGGAGTTGAGGCAAATTTGTAAAAAAAATGTTTAGCGATAAAAACAAACATGAAAGTAAACTATAAATTGTTGAAAATGTATTTTATTTCTGAATTTATACGACGTTTCTTCTGAATAGTTTCGGAATTTAACTTCTCTAATACTCTTCAAACCAAAAACGACAAGCAACGAGATGAAGCAATATCATGATGATTGTTGGAAAAGACGTTACAGATGTAGATAGGTACACACTGAATCTGTCGTATTACACAGCGCCACGACAGATTTTTAAAATATGGGCACACACACATGCACACAAACATGCACACACACAACACAAACATGCACACACACCACACAAACATGCACACACACCACACAAACATGCACACACACCACACAAACATGCACACACCACACACATATGCACACACACATCATGCACAATTTAGACCAATGTGATCTTACTTCAATCGTACGAGTGAGTCTAAAGGTCTTATTTTTTCCGTTAATAAGCTAAACATGCAAGTCGGAGCGTGGACTTTGTTGAGGTGCGTTGAGATGTGAATGTTTAATGAAACGTACAAATAGATGGATCGTGGTTTAACAGTTTGCAGATAGATACAGTTTTTAGTTGTAGTAAGGTTATAGTTTTAGTTACATAATATTATCATCTAATTATAATTAAAATAATAATTAAAATAATAATTATAACTACACAAATATAACCCGAACCAGCTGACCATCAGCATGCCTCACCCTCCGCTTAAGATTGACTTACATACACACATTCTACCGGAATCATGGCCTGACTTGGAAAAAGTTATTAAATTTTTTTATAAAAAAAAGTTTTTTTTCGGACATTAAAAGAAAAATTTTAAAATTATAAACTCCAGAGATACGGATATGGCGGGTGGGTGAAACTGGAAATAAAAAATGGGAATGGTTACATGATGAAGGATGGAAAGCTATTCAGGCGGGTTGATGAGAACTGTTGGAATGTTCACCATCGAATTAAAGAAATGAACTTCACAGGTCAACAGCATTAATAATTGTTTTATTCATTTCTATTCGATGCTTTAAAGTTTCTGAAATGTTGGCACCGCAGGAGTCAATTATCAGGTCTTATCCACCGTCCCAGTCATGTTCAGCTACTGGGTGAGCTTTAAAGTTATTATGGAACAAAAAAGTGTTTTAAATTGGAGAATTATTAGAAATGTTAGAAAATAATGCATTTTAGGCTGAAGCCGACCACGCGAATGAAGTTAGCCAGTTTCTGAACAACCACATTTCCGCAACTGTCGATAAGCACCCTGACCGCTTCATGGCCCTGGGAACGCTTCCTCTACAGAGCCCCGCCCTCTCCGTCGCCGAAATTCAGAGGTGTAAAAAAGAGTTGGGTTAGTTGGATAAATAATAATTTCATTTATTCAGGCAGAAATGAATTTGAAATGAATCAGTTTGACAAAATAAAGTTTTTGAACAATGTTAGTTGAATGATTCTTTGCCAAGTGAATGAATTTTGTTGCTGATACAACTGTCAAATGAAGCTATCTCATAACGATTCGTGGAAATAAAATTTATCATGGTTTACATGAGTTTCAATAAGCCCTTTTTGAATATTTTATATCACTTCAATTAGATATATACAAAACCATTAAATAACATTATTTTACTTTGGTTATTAATATAAAAAAAACTAAAAAAATATATATTCTTCTTTTTAATATTTTTTATTTAAATTTGAAGGTCTCCCAGGTTTTCAGATTGGGTCGCACGTAAATGATTGGAACTTGGATGCTGACGAATTGGAACCGGTCTTTCAGGTTCCGTCATTTTTTATTACTCTTTAAAAAATCGGAATCTGACAGCCGCAAAAACTGTTACAGCATGCAAGATGATAGTATAAAATAAAAACAGGATTGAATGGAAATTAGAGAACGGAGTAAGAATATTTAAGCATATCAAGCAAGGAAAATAAATAATGGTTTAAAAAACAAATTAATTAGTTAATTAATTGATTGACTAGTTAATGACTAAATAAATAAGTTATGTGCTCATTATAGAAAAAGCATTCCGCGTATGATATGATTCTTTTGTGTGCATTGAGAATGTGTGCAGTGCATCTACTTCGTGTGGTGTGGTGTCGTGTGGATGTTTGTGGCATACAAGTTTAATACCAAGCAAATAAGTGAAAAACTGTATAATAAAGAATTGTATGATAAGGAAATAATAATGAGTAGGTGTTCCTAGACGACGAATGATTGTTATTTGAATGGCGATGGAGTTCGAGAACATCATCTTAGTCGGAAGTTGAGTAAACGTTTTTTGCATCATCACAAACATTATCGGATAATGACTTCAAATTTTGTACGAATATCAAAGACTTTAAAGTTTGACTACTTTACTGATCTCAATAAACACTTAACCAGGCCTTGGTGGATAATGACTGCTGTCTGTTCATCCATCCATGGGACATGGAGACCAAGCGATTGGATCAGTACTTTTTACCCTGGCTCGTTGGTTTGTAATGCGAAGTGTTCAATGCAAACATTCAAATGCAAATAAATATTTTGATCGTTTTTATTGGTGCAAAGGAATGCCAACGGAGTCAACAACGGCCATCTGCAGTCTCATATTTGGGGGCGTTCTTGAGAAGTTCCCGAAACTTCGAGTGTGCGTTGCGCATGGAGGTGGTTCAAATTGTTATTTTTGTTTTTGGTAGTGTAGTTGTTGTGGTGTTGTTGTTATTGAAATTGCAAATTTTTTGACCAGTTGATTTGTGACAAATTTATTCGTAAGACCAATGGCCAGTTCTTAAACGACTTGAATTCGTTCTTGTTCGTTTGTTCAACTTTTTTCGAAATCTCCGATAGCTTTAGTGAACACTTTTCTACATTTTTCATGTTGCATAGGTTGAATTAGCATGATCTTATCTGTTATCACACGATTTACAGCTTGTGTACTTATTTTGTTCCCCTTCTGTTGTTGATGATGCTTGAAATAGAGTTTTGTTGTTGATGTTACGCAAATACATATTCAACTGTTTATTAAATGTCATATGCTGTTAATATAATTAATTGGTTATTAGTTTTATGTATTGTTGTCGTTTCAGGTGGAAGTTTTCCATACACGTTGGGAAGATTGGAGCATGGTTATCACTCGATACCTGAACTTTGTGCTACCAAGTGCAAGCTAACTCCAAAACAATTTGTTGGACGGTTGTATTTTGATTCGCTGGTGCACGATTCGGAGGCGCTCAAGTTCCTGGTACAAACAATGGGAGAGGTAACTTAAATTAGAAGCTGATGCTGTCAACATTACGTTTTTCTTAAGATTGTTTGTGCTTTTGTTAACTTTTGTTATCTATTATTCTTTAAATGCTGCTGTTGTGATAATGATTCATACTTGAATGTGTGCTTTGGTTCACATGCTACATCTTGCAACATGATTGTGTGATTTAAGTCAACAAATGAGGAAATGTTTTATCACGAAAATTCTATTTATATCACAACATTTTTACAAGCAACACTGACAACGTAACCAGGATCAGGTAATCTTAGGAAGCGACTATCCCTTCAGACTGGGTGAAAATAAACCAGGATTATTGATTGAAAGTATTGATTCATTCAGTCAAACTACTAAGGTTTCACATTCTTTTATATTTTATAAAAATTTTCCCAATTTTAATTTGAGGCATCTGAAAACATTTTGACATGTTATTTTATGGTTTGGTTTTTTATTATTTGGTTTCATTTAGGAATTATTTTATAATTTTTTATCTATTAGGAATTTCATTTTTATTTTAGTAACTTTTTCTCTTTTTGTTTATTTATACATGAATATTGTTTTTACTGCGTGTTGGGTGCCTCCCTGACTTGTGCTGCTACAAATAAATACATTTTCAGTTTATTTTGCATGATAAATGTGAATTATTTGTAAGAACATTATTTCTTTGTATATTCGTTACTGTTGACATAGCATACCAAACCAACTTATACACACACACACATATATATATATTATATATATATATAAACATATATATATATTATATATATATATTATATATATATATTATATATATATATATATAACGGAATGTATAGTTAACTTAATAATTTTGATCACAGAACCAACTTCTAGGATTGAACGCCCTAAACTTTTTAGGAGTTGACAGGACAAAATGTTGTCAGGAAAACCTCTTCAATTAGACCAACTGCTGAACAGCACCACTTTCTACGTTTTACTGCAAATTTCGTTTATATATTCTAAAAAACTCTCAATTTTGAATATTATTGATAATATTATAATTATATACAATTTGAAAAAAATGATTATTTTAATCTATTAAGAGGTCGTTGCGATCGAAGTTTTTTAAATTTTTCAGTTTCTCTTTCTCATCAGTAATTTTAATGAACTTGTAACCCGGCATTCTACAAGGAATCCTAGTTTTCCAACATTGACCTTTTTGTATAAACTTTTCTGTTTCCTAAGCTAGTTTTTCATAATTTCGTTATTCATTTCTGGCGCTAACTGATTCTCAACACTTTTCTTTAGCGTCCCGATTCAAACGCTTCAAATCTGCTTTTTCTTTCTTTTCTTGATTGTTCAAGTTTCGCATGCAATCAACATACGTAGTTTCTATTGTCATTAACTTTGTTTCAATAGCTTTTTTAAAGATATATCACCCACCACCTTACCAAATTTTTTTCAACGATGCCAAAATTCCTAGTGCAACAACTATTCTTCAGTTAATTAACTTCCTATTCAATTTTTCGATAATTTTTCGATCTACCGAGAAATTAAACAGGAAGTTAACTAACGCGAAACATGCTGCGATTTTCATCAATATATATATATATATATATATATATATATATATACAGCGTTGATTAGTTAACTGATCAAAGCTGAAAATAGGGTAATATTTCTTAATAATTGTACATACGACGGTCTCGACCGTAATATGTGTGCATATATATATATATATATATATATATATATATATATAAAGGAAAAATTCAATATTGAAATTTTGATTTGCCTAAATTCAAATTCCGCTTTATATCTTTGCGTGTATAGTATATATTACAATAATGACGTAATACTCATATACATATAATAATTATGTAATTATTATATAAAACCATATAAGTGAAAGGTAAATTACGAAACAATAAATAGTGGTAAAGTGCTGCGACGTCGCTGGAGGTGTATGCTCTCAGGAATCATAACAAATCAAACATTCAGAAAGATGTAGGAGTCGATTAGTAACACGACGTGTCTGAAAGCTTCAGGAAAACCCCCGCCCATCAGCACAGCAGTTGTTTAATAATGTCTCCATATGTATATAAAATCAAAATATTCAATTTGTCAAGAAATATAGACAACTGAATACGAATAGCAAACCCGTCTATAGTAAATTAAACTTTATAAGTAAGTGGAAGTTTAAAGAATCATTTGTTTCCAAGTTTGACGAGACATGTAGGTCTGAGGCTGAACATTTGAACAGAGAGACGATTCCTAAAATCGATGTACCGGAAGATAAAATGCAGAACAATAAAAATTTGAACGATTTATTTTCGAGACAAAATTGTAATCATAACAAAAGATAACATCAATATATAAATAAATCAAAACTGAAATTACACTTAATAAACAACTTGAATGACCAGGAACTGCATTGAAAAATAGTGATGTGATTGAAGACCTGCTATCGATCGGTCGGTGCCTTCCAATTGAATGCCTCCGCAATGAAGAAGCATCATTGAAAATCGTGCCCCAGCAAAACTGGCACAATGATTTGCAACAATTTCGAATGATTGAATTTACAAAATGATTTTTAATAGCTTGAATGAATTTAACTGCGTTGTGCTTAACAGCCAACTTCTCCGTCGAACTGTCAGAAACATCACCAGTTGACAGGTGGTTTTTTAAATAAATTAACTATTCAAATTAGCTACCAAATAACTGACACCACCAACGACGATCGACATTATTCATGACATCATTTAATGGCAAAACATGTCAGCATCCTTATGACGTCATTCTCATTAGGAATATATTCCAATATTCCACACAATCGTACCACACACACACGCGCTTCTCACACACGCCACACAGCACTGGACAGAGAATGTCGTGTATGAAAATATATTATCAACATTAAGAAACGACATATTTCAATTATGCATCACTAAATAACATACTATTCATGAGATCACACAACTCCAAATATCCTAACATCACTTCACACATCGTAACATCCCATCAAACATCCATCACGACATCAATTCACACAGCATGGCATCAGACATCACAACATTAGTCAACACATAATAACATCACAGCACACATAATAACATCACAGCACACATAATAACATCACAGCACACATGATAACATCAAATTACTTGTCATAACATATCACATCACATAATTACATCACAACATAAATTCCTACAAGAAAACATCACACACCAATCACGACATTAATTCACACGCCATGACATCAATTCACGCATTGTGACATCACATCGGACATCAAGAAGTGACCTCACACATCACCATGCACACACGCCACCAATGACGACGACGATGACTTTATGACTTGAGCAATGAATGCACGACAGATCGGGCGTTGAGGTTCTTCAAGTCGCAGTAGGTCTGTCCAGTGCCGACGAAGACAATCGGCTGACCAGTGATGTAAGTCATCGAGATGGCCGCCCCAACCTGCAAATGTGTATGCATGTGTGTGTGTGTGTGTTTGTTTGTTTTTATGTGTGTTTGTTTGTACGCATCATTATAAATATTTGTACTATTAAATTTATTATAGCATTTTAAAGCGCTTTTTATTAAAACACATGTTGTCACGGTGTCAAAATGAAGCTTATCATCCCGTAGTTGATGTTTTATAAAAATTCAAAATGAAGACATATGGAATGTTCAAATTTTTGAAAAAAATTACACATTTCAAATGAAATATATCCTTCCCTGCATCTTAACTTACGACACCTCTCAACTCTTAATTAATCTCCTTGCAACTAGTTCCTTCCTGAGCTCTCCCTTCATTGCGACGCTTGTAAAACTCTTTCATCACTTGACATAAAAAGCTAACGAGATGAGATGAACTTAAAACGGCACTAATCAGTATGAGAAGAGGAAGCAACAAACACGCCGAGCCAACCTTGTCGTCGATGGTGTCGAACTTGGTGAGGACGATCCCATCGATGAGGTGAGGATCGTCAGCATCAGAAAAATCGGCAAGTGCCTGGTTGAACTTGACCAGCTGATCAACTGCATCGTTACCCACCAGGGCCTCCCCAACAAACAACACCAAATCAGGTTGGTTCCATTTTATCAACTGGCGTGTTTGTTTATTTGTTTGTTGTGTGTGTGTACATACATGTGTCGTTTCGTGCGTATGTGTTATATATGTGCCCACGTGTTGTAAAACGGTGTGCTGTGTGAGTGGTCGTTGAACCAAAGTTATTTTCGTGTTAAGTAATTCGTGCTATGAATTTTGTTGTTTTGCAAGACGCATTAGATTCATTCGTGTGCCAGGCGAGGTGTGGCTGGAAGGTCGCCAGTTATATAGTTGTGAAGAGTGCGTTCAATGTTTAATTCGATATATTTAATTCGGCATATTAGATATAAAGAAGTAAGATGCAACTCGTTCCTTTCATTACATAACACACCAGCCATCTAGCCAGTCATTCAATGCACCGACCAGCTAGCTGTTTCTTTGTGTGATTCAACAATGACCGGATGAACTAGTCACGTGATAAAATTAACAAAAATAATGATCACACACGCTCTTGAGAACTAAATGCTTCAAACAGATGAATCCACATAAGACGGTTCGATCTTTTGCTCAACACATCATTGATGATAAAACATAGAAAGCTAGACTGAGAAATTAAAGTGACCAACAACACATCAAAAGACATCCCTACCAACAACTGACCACCACACAAACATCAGCCACCAGGGAAAACATAACAAGTGAGCACAAGCCGGCCATCATTCAAAAAGAAAAACAATACCAACACAACATTACTACAACACCACCGAGTCACATCAACGCCAACAACTTCAACAACAACAACACATGTCAACACAGCAACAAATAAACAAGAGATGAGATAAACCTTGGCAAGCGACTTCATCAGTGGCTCGTTACCTTGCATCCTGCCTGCTGTGTCCACCAATACAACATCAAAATGGAAGTCACGAGCTGCATGTGAGTGTGGCGTGTGTGTGTGTGAACAAAAAAAAATCAAAAACTGATAATTTTATAAGAAACGTTAATAGAAGAAGCACGTAAGGTGCATTAAAATGGAGCTGGTAAACATGGAAAGAATAAACACAGCTGCATCCGTCATCCCACAAACAAAACGCAATACCATGTGCCATACTGATACACCCTCATACAAATTAATAAAAACATCGCCATGCAAACTCAACATCTTAGAAACAAACATGCAAGCAAACCATCCACCAAACAAAACGAGCAAACAAACAACCAAACGAAACAAGCGAATTTCAGATAGAAACGAACGACAGTTCAACTTGTACCGACCGTAATTGATGGCCTCCATGGCGACACCTGCTGCATCCTTGCCGTAGCCCTTCTCGTAGAGGTGTGCCATGATCTGCTCCTTCTTCGAGTGGTGTATGGCGTTCAGTTTGCGGCAGTGGGTCCTCAGCTGTTCGACGGCGCCCGCTCGAAATGTGTCGCATGCGGCTATCAACACGCGCAAGTTGTTCTCAATCAGCCAGTAGCAAATCTGTTGGCCAGGTGTTCAATTCGTCAAATTGCAAATTTATTCATTTTTGCATTTGTAAGGCGCGTGTTCGTGCCGGGCCGAAGGGAGCACGCCACGCATAATAATAACTCGTTGTAAACAAATAGCTAGGTCTATGAAATTTCTTTTTAAAAATTCAAGAAAAGAAGCACAGTTTGCTGATATCATATAAGTTATTATTATTATTTAATAAAACAATAACTAATAAAACTACTCTCCTCCAAAAACGATTGCAAGGTTAGAATGATATATTCATTTAATATTGTTTGACGAACCTTGGCCAGGTTGGTGGACTTGCCGACGCCATTGACCCCGCAGAACACAACGACGTAGGGCTTCCTCTTGGCCTGGGCATCGAGGGCGTCCCTCAGGATGTCGATCCTCTTGCGAGGGGTCAGCAACTGGACACATGATTCTTCCAGGGCCTGCTTCACCGTCGAGGCTACAGCTGAGTGCGGTCGCGTGAATGTGTGCGTGCGTGATGCCACGTGCGTGTATGTGCGCGTGTGTGTGTGTGAGTGATGTGTCAAGTGATGTGTGAGAATGTAAAATTGTGACGAGATGTTGCGTTCTGTAGTGCGGTGATAGGAGTGGTGCGGTGTGATGGGACGCTCGCAACATTGCACATATTTGACGTGGAGATGGATTTGTTGACGATGCATTATAGTATGTAACCAACTTTTAAATGTTCCGAGCACTTTTCCTTCGAGTTTCGTGATGACCGACTCGCACAGGTTGCCCGCAATCTCGGCCGCCACGTTCTTCGCTGGTGTTCAGTTTGGAGAAAGTCATTGAGACGACATCGTCACTCACAATTATTAAGACATCAATCAAACATCGTCAGGTCAGAGGTGTTACATACGTGCGGTGACTTAGTTTAAGTTGTTAAAAGACTACGAGAAAAAATATTCATGTGGTAAATAATTTAAAAAATTAATAAGGCAACACTGCACCGTCACTCAAATCTCAAATATATATATATATATATATATATATATATATATATATCTATATATATTGTTGTGTATATGTATTGTATATACAAATATAAGAACTGAAAACATATTTATATTCTCTGTTGGACTTTGATAAATTGTTATACATAACAATAGAAATGTTATTTGAAGTTTAATAAACGTTTATACGATGGGTTTGACATGATTCTTACTTATTTTCATTTAATTTCACTAGAACGTTCCAGCGCGGGGATCATGCTCCTTTCGCTTCATAATCATCGCCGTAACATTATTCCCCAAAATATTTTGCGGTGGCGGATAATCTCACTTCTTTCTTATCTACAAACACATCATAACCATTCAGAAAAATGCGAAACATTTTGTGTCCATAAGAATTCCATCCTCACCCTTAATTCGAACCAACTGTTGCTGTTATATAACATTATCCTGATCATTTTTTCACCCTTCTATAATTCTTTGGCATTTTGCAACAGATGTAATCTGCGTCCGTCAGATTCTGATTTTTTTAAGGAATATAAAATCAAAAAAAAACAAAATTGTCATCATCAAGGAGGCAGTAGAGGAAACTGACCAATGAGATGGTCCTTCATCTTCTCCATGGCAGGTTCAATGTCTTTTTTGGTCAGTACCTTCGATCCGACCAGGTTCTTCAGCCCGTCAAACAAACCGAACGCGCTCTTCTTCTTCGTCGTCATCGTCGTCTTCACCTCCTCACCACCGCCATCAACGTCATCGTCATCTGAGGAACTCTGCCTTCCGTCGTCATATTCCTTCAGCTGGCCAGCCATTGAATCATACCTTTCCTGTGTGTATGAATGTTAGTTAGTTGGTTAGTTAGTTAGTTAGTTGGTTAGTTAGTTGGTTAGTTAGTTAGTTAGTTAGTTGGTTAGTTGGTTAGTTAGTTAGTTAGTTAGTTGGTTAGTTGGTTAGTTAGTTAGTTGGTTAGTTAGTTGGTTAGTTAGTTAGTTAGTTAGTTGGTTAGTTGGTTAGTTAGTTAGTTGGTTAGTTAGCTAGTTAGTTAGTTAGTTAGTTAGTTGGTTAGTTGGTTAGTTGGTTAGTTAGTTAGTTGGTTAGTTAGTTGGTTAGTTAGTTAGTTAGTTAGTTGGTTAGTTAGTTAGTTGGTTAGT